AGATGTGTATAAGAGACCGTTTAAGATGTTCTAAGACTACATTTTAAGATTTATCTCCCCCCCCCCCCCACAAAAAAAAAATGTTTTTTTTTTTTCTTATTTTGATCCGAGTGTCCGATGGGGTGAGGGAGGTTGGCCTGTCTGACTTGAGAGAGGGGGTGCTGCTACAAGTACTAGCTTCTGCAAGTGTTCATGGTGTTCTTATTGATGATAAGATGATGATTGTTTCATCCCTGCACATAAAACAAAGGGGGAAATGATTTGGAGGAATCGTATCATTGGGAATTACCCCTTAAATATTTAAGTCGTGGAGAAAAAAACAACAGTCTGTCGAGAAGGAAAAGAAGGATCGTCAGAGACATCGGACCGCCGTCGGGTAAATGCTGGTGCCACTCCTGTCTATAATATAGATTGAGTAATTATTGAAGGAGAGTCTCGCATTGTGGATCATGCCAACGATGACGGTTGATCTGGTCGTAAATAATGTTACTAGCGTTTGCATTTGTACTTAATTTTATCTTTCATAGACATTCCACATTTTGCTTTGTTTATTATATCAATACCATCATGGAGGTATAACACCTCCATGATACCATATTGTAATTAATTATATCAATACAGTAGGCCTACCCAGGGATGGCGCCAGCGGGGGAGGGTCCAGCAGGGGAAGGGAGGGAGCAGTGCACTCCGTTGGGGAGAAAAACCACAATGAATATTTATTTTCTACTAGTAGACTCCAAAATCGATTAAATAAGCCTTTGAAACCCCTAAATTGTCATATTTTTTTAGGGCTTCGCCCCCATGGAACACTTTCGAAAGATTTTGAGCGATGACCGACCACGCCCACTTTCTTTCGTCGGGGCAAATCCTGGCGCCACAACTGACAGTACCATTGTAGTTAATTGATATAGTTAAGTTCAAGCTTGTAATTCCTGGCCCGAAAAACCTAGACTCAGAAATAGCATGTTGGTGTCTGGCGGCGGATAGTTTTTCCATTCATAATGTAAGATTTAATGTAAAGCACCTAGAGGGATCTCTGATCCATTAAGCCGCAGCGTGACGAATAACGCACGCGAAGACGCAGACCCAACAGAGTCTTTTCAATGAGGATCCATTCAGATTGCCACTGCACTGACAATCAAGCAAATGTGAATTCATCGTGCGACGGTCGTACGATGCAGTGAGTGTCCGGCATTAGGCGCTATATAAATACGGTTTTATTATGTTTATTGTTTTAGTTAGTCTTCTTGTTTTTAACAATGTTTATTGTTGTTCTTTGGTAGTCTTTTTGTTTTTACTAAAGTATATTTATTGTATTGTTATTGTATTTTATCTTTGGAGGACCATCTCGTCTGTATATACTATCCTTCCTAAATATGTTATAATAAATAAATATTATCTGGATGGACATATGTGAAGGTGTGGTCAGTAGTAAGCTATATATTAAAGCTACATCCAATAGCCACAGCTAGATGATATTAATTTGTCAGATACATACATTTCCTAAGACACATTAACATTATTTCATAACATAAGAATTCTGACGACATGGTTTCTTTAAATTTTATTTTCAGTATGTGTAGAAAAACACTGATATACATTGAACATTAATGATAATAGATTGAGAAATGTAAGTAACACAGGATGAAATTGCTTGACATAGAATTACAGTCTGTACAATCTTATTTTATGAATGTTTTATGAAGTTTTTTTATATGCATATTAAAAAGTTTTGTAATTGTGTGCTCAGTGAAGCCCTCACTGTATAATATTTGTTATGTTTCATCTGATGAATTTTCTACAATTAGCTTTCTCTTCTTTGCGTAATGTTCAATTCGATCTTCCAAGCTTTCTGTAATAATAAAGTCGAGAAATTAATCAATAATATTTTAAAATAAAGAATGTAAGAAATTTACTCTTCAGTAACAGTTCTAGCTTATTTCTTTATCAATGGTGGATGACACAATATTAGCACTACCAATAGCACCCTCAAGATCAGTCATGCGATGATCTGTTAGAGTACTGCAAACAAATGTGTCCTTTATTTATGTTAAAACAGTGGATCATCCCTATTTTTAAAATTTATTGAAATAGGCCTACTACTCCAAAACAGGGACTACAGCCGTTTCAAATGTAAACATATTATAATTACTGTACCTCCTTTTTTCCGTTGCATGAGTGGTTTGTGCTGTTGTGATGGTTTTCCCATTGTCAGATAATCATTTTGGATCAACATGGGTTCTGCGATCTCACACCATGGTACGTAGTTCCCTGGACCTGTACAGAAGAGATGAGGGCACTGTATGTTATACTCATCATTTATTCACCATGATAATGACTTTAATATCATGATGATCATAACATACAATGATTATAAGGATCACATAATTCATCACCGTTTTCCCAAAGAGACACAAACATGTTTGAAGTGGACTACTTCATTAATCCGTAAATTTCACTATCAAGATATCAAAATTTTGAATATTTTTTTACATATGTTTAGAAAAAAACATTAAACAATTCAAATGTTCAATTTATTTTTCTTTCCTTAACTTTAATTAACCTGTTAGTTAGCGTGAAAGGTTTGTGTCTGTTTGTGAAAACGAAAAAAAAAAAAAAAAAAAAAAAAAAAAAAAATCAATTTTTCTTGATTTATGTGCTATACCTAATTAGCCTAATTAGCTAAATAGTGTAGTTGTACTCTAACAATTAGGTGAAAGGGTCAAGTTTGATGTACATCAAAATGCCAAAGGAAAAGAAATTGAAAAAATATAATTTTTAAAGTTTGTCTCTTCGTGGTGTCGGTGATGAATTATTGATGATCACATATCTTATATGCTTATTTCAATAATGATGTGATGATCACATAATAATCCCAATGATTATGTGATGATTAAACAATGATCATGTGATGATCACACAATAAGCAAGTGGTGATCACCACTTGCTCATTGTGTGAGCAAGTGCTCATTGTGTGATCACATAAGCAAGTGGTGATCACCACATGCTCAGTGTGATCACACAATGAGCAGGTGATGATCATCACATGATCATTGTGATCACACAATGAGCAAGTGGTGATCACTACATGCTCACTGTGATCACACAATGAGCAAGTGGTGATCACCATTTGCTTATTGTGATCACACAATGAGCAAATGGTGATCACCACTTGCCTACTGTAATCACACAATGAGCATTTAGTGATCATACATTGATCAGTTGATAATAACATGATAATTATATGATTATCACCCATTTATAAAATTATGGAAATGTTCCACCCTGGGTGGGCAACACATATTTGTCTCCATTTTCTTGCTCTCAACGTACACCTACACCTCGAAATATTACTATATCATAAAAACATAATATAACTATAAATTTCAGATTCAAAAATAAAACAAGCCTTCTCCAGTGTATCAGAAAATTGAACCTAGCTACTTACTTTGACCATCATTTTCATTTAATTGGAAAGAAGCATTGTCCATTCCATCCAGCATTCTCTTTACAATAGTTCCCCTGAAGAATAAGCATTAGATAATTATGAATGAAACAATAATTTAGTATGAAACAAACCCTAAAAAAAAAATGATGCAAGACATTATGACTTAACATTGTAAACTATATCCACACACACACACACACAGATATATATATATGTAGTAGGGTGTATTTTTGTATATGTTTTTAGTTAATCTTAAGTACCTTTAAATTTATTCTATATTATTTATTTATATTAATCCAGTATCCCTTATCCAAAGAGGCTATACAATGGAATACTGTTTTAGCATGTAGGTTAATGACCCATAAGAGAGAGATATATATATATATATATATATATATATATATATATATATAATGTGTGGATATAGTTTACAATGTTAAATCATAATGTCTTGCATTATTTTTAATCTAAATTATACATTATTTTACCAGAATAACATTTCAGATATCTAATATAAGTAACTGAGTATTATAAAAAATGAAATATATTATATATATGGTCCTGAAATGGTCTTGGGAGATGAGAAATAAAAAAGGAATTACCTCATCACCAGTTCTGTCCAAATTTGCTGAAATTTTCTTATATTGTGCTGATGATTATCTGAAGAAAATCATGAATGTATAAACACTTCAAATCTTCAATTAAAAATATTTAAACAATAATTCTAAAAAAACAATTCTCTATGAATTTAGCAGCAAAATGAAGATAATGCTGTTATAGTCGTATTACTGAATTTAAAGTAAAAAAGAAAATGTTGGCCAAATCTTACCTTTGTCATAGACCCATTGAATGTCATCATATGAACAATCGTAAAGGACTAGTGGGTAATCTACCGCCATATTGTACTGAGGTTTACAAGGGTTAGATTCCACATCAAAGAGTTCATCAATTATCTGTACACAGAACAAAAATATGGTAACATTTTAAAAATGAATTCTAAATATCAGGGTCATGCGACAAGATCGGGGGGAAACAGGTCCAGTAACTGAACTAGGGATGCTAAGGGGCTGGACTAATGTTTTAACATTATAGGGTATTAGAGATTATTCGATACCATTTTCATTTCAAGACACAGTGGTTATTATTAGTCTGTTTATACATATAAAATACAGTATCTAGATATAAACTTCAGAATCTGGCACTTATAAGATATCTACAGCACAAATGGTAAAGTAAAAGTCTCAATTTAAATTAGGGTACTATTATACATCAGGATTTAACAAACAGAATTACCATTATAATTTAAACTTTATGCCTCACCTCTACTTTTTCCTTGCGTTTACCAATGAGCAAGAGAATAGACATTATACAACGTATTTGATGATAAAGAAATGCTACTCCAGTAATGGTGAGTTCGTAAAGCTGAAAACCTCCATCACTGTCAATGTAAGGAATAATAACAAATTTTCTAAATTTTAATAAGCACGTTCAAATTATAACATTGCATATAAGAAAACAAACTTAACAATACAATGAAAAATTTTACAAAAACAACATAACCTAATAAATAATGGACCTTTCCTTAATTTTAATCATACTTATCTGACCAATCAAAACATTGTCAGGAATATGTGCATGTCCAACAAACATACATTTACACTGCCGTTTTGTGGGACCTTGGGGACAATATCAAGGGGGTAGGGCATAGTGGAACAGTCTCTTTGTAAAAATATAGTTGAATACAATGGAAAGATATTGAAATTCTATAAAGGAAATTTAGCTGCAAACCAATGCTTACCTGTTGTCAAGATGTTCTATAGAAGCTGACAATATGCGTCTCTTGAACATGACAACGCCATTAGCAACGTCCATCTTACAGAAGTTCCTGAAGTCATGCTCACCAATAAGTTTCTGGGAAGCTTCCTTCATTACCTACATTAAATGTTTAATGAGATGTTTATTACTACAACATTCATACATCTTGATAAATTGTCTCACACCAATCAAATCAATTTTCTTTTTGATCACTTTCATGATTATGATTACCGATATAACAATTACAGTTGAACTTGCCTAAGTCAAATCAAAAATTTTAGTTCATCTCCCGGTCTCCAGGAAATTCCACATTTCCTCCCGGAATTTGGATTTTTCTTGGATTTCTCAAGGATTTTACCTGATTTTCACCAATTTCCCATTCTTTTGCATTAAATATGGCAGATGTCATATCTTTTATTGAACATTCTAGGCAAAAGTAAGTAACTAACAGTGCCCTAAACCTGCCCAAGCCTCTTAGTTTTTATATTAAACATGACGATAAATTTGTACACGCGCATCCTTGTACATGTGTTTTAGTTGTAGCTAGAACAAGCGTAAAAAACAGGTGCCTCTCCTGCACGACAAGTTCTCCGAGAATTTGACTTTCACAATTTGGGGCCCCTGGAATATAAAAGATAAAAGACATTTGTTGATTTGGGAGCACAGGAATGTGGTCTTTAATTGAAGGGAGACCTGTGAACACCATTCCCTGCTACTTGTTGCTGTCTGATCAGCTTACCTCAATATCCAGATCCCCCTTGGGAAAAACATACTTGTAGGTCCTACTTTTTGCATCAAATCTAAAAACAAAACAAATTGTCCTATAACTTGTGGATATAGTTTTCTTGTATGATACTTTTTGGATGGAGTGTATAAAACCTATTTCAGTGTTTACCTTGCACTTAGAGTTTGTCCAACGGCAGCCCAGGCCAGCACACGAATTTCTCTTGGAAGGACACGGTTCAATATTTGTACATACTCAATTTCTTTACTTTTATCACCTGAAAATAATGGGATTATATGTTGAATTCTATTTTAACAAAACAAATAATAATTATAGTGGGTAGTGTTTTCTGAAAGATCTGTTCTATCTTTAGTTGTTTATATTCACTATACAAGATATACATTTTTCTATTTCGTTAGTTAATCAGTCTGTTTATAAGGTGCATAAATATTGTACACCTTTAAAGATATAACCAAAGTGTAGAGCCAGTACCTGGCCTATCAGCTGCAGTACCACCAGGTCGTTTGATGACCCCACATCCTTCTAAAAGGTTTGACCGGAGGTCAAGTGTTATGACCTGACTGAAGGCACTCACTCCTTTATCGGTTCGACCACAACGTGAGTAATTCGCTGTAGCACGATCTTCTATAAGTCTTGTTTTTTGCAGAGCATCAAAAATATATGCCTGTAAGAAAGTATAGTAACTTCTGTAAATTGATGTCTTCATTTATTATTTGTGCATAATACAACAGAAAACAGAGATACATTGACAAATCCGCTGTACTGTAAATATCAAACAAAGAAATGATATAAAATAATCAAGGAGTATGTATATAGCAGTAAATTTATCGAGCAAATTACAAGATGAACTATCACAGAGATTATGAGATGAGGATGTTTATATTTTCAAATGAAATAGTTGGATGATTGCAGGTGCACAATAGCTTCATATGAGCACATAAGTCTACCTGAGTTCTCAATCAGACATCTCTGGTGTGCATGGAATGCATTATTCTTTGATTAAAAATCTAAATGAGCAATAGTTTAAATGGAAGGCTACTATGAGCAGTGTATGGCATTCTACCTCTATTGTTTTATCTGTAGATTCTTGACTTGCAAAGCCATGGTAATCCCAGCCTAGGTAGGCTATCCTCAAAGCTACATGTCTTGTATTGTACCTAAAAAAACAAAATAAGTACATTGTTAGAAGACAAGAGTGAAAAACAGTAACACAGTTCATTTTTGTGTGTCTCAAATCGAACGAAACAGCAGATCAAATCATAAATTCAAAGAATTCAATAGATGCTTTATGGCAGTTTTTTAAATTTCCATAATATAGTTTTTATGCAAAACAATTTGATAAAATATACAGACACAATATGATTAAAATCAATGGTTTATCATAATAATTGTGCATTTCATATACAGCATATTAGAACTTAATATCAAATGCATAATAAAATCATAATAAACAAACATTATTATTATTATAATAAAACAATAAAACATTATGTTTGTCTGTATCACTTACTTATTGAAATCAAAGATACGCATTTTCTTATTCTTTTTTTGAAATTTTTGTCCATGACCATCTGTTGTAGTACTGGACAAACTTCTTTTCCTCTGCCCAGGTGCACTTCTTTCCATCTCCTCAGTTGCACTCCCTTCCCCATGCTTGGTTGCTGCATTCACAGTGAATTGTTTACGAAGAACTGTGACTTGCGACTGGAGATCCTTTGTCTTTTTTAATAATGCCTGTGAACATACAATCACATATCTGCTTTTGATTGCACAACAATTCATCTCATTTCATTTATTCATTTGATTCATTCATACCTATTTTTTAGGTAGTTTTTGGGGATGTGAATTATAAGCTTTACTGCATTTAGGCGTGACCTAGCGCACTGTACAAACGGTATTCTAGGCTTAATCGTATTTCAAAATAATTGGCCTACTTAATAAACATTTTTTTAAGCTAGGAGGAGTATGGCCAAAACATGAGAACTATGTATGAATGATGCATTGTTGAACAAGTCCAAAGCGATGAAGACACTTGCGGGAATGCAGGGTGTATCACTGAGATGATAAAACAACATTTTTCAATTTCAACATTTTATGATCACTTACTGTACTTTTACTAAGAACACCACTGGCACCGACTCGGCATGGTAAGCCTAGCCTACTACGTGGCCTATGATTTCTGCACGACTGCACCTCACTTTCACCTAAAAAATAAAGATGAAAATTAGTACATACCTCTTTTGATAAATTTGAAAGATCTTCCAGCTCTTCATTTTCCTGAATTTTACTTGAAACAAGCTCAACTTCTGTGTCTTCGTTCGCCATCTCAATTCATGGGCGCTGACATGTTTGTCTACCTCGTAATTGACAAAGTGATGTATTTGGGGAAAAGGTTTCAATTAGTACTCCGTGTTGATCCGCCGATATACATATTTATAGCTAGTGCCAAAAATAATCAACAAGGAGGCGGTGCTGCAGGTGGTTTTATGTTTTTATTTTTATTTTCATCGATGTTTGTACTATTATGCATCGTGGAAGAGATGGAATTTTATGTTGCAGAAGACACTTTGAGTCTTCAGAATCAGAAATGGTAAACTATGAATCTCCAAAGATTCTGGAACTAGATTGTAGAGTGTTTTTTTTTTGTTAACACCAGCCTAGGCCTAGCCTACACTACAGACAGAGAATGACCGAGAGTAAAAACTGTAGCACACTGTATTGATAATAATAATGGTTATGTTACATAGACAACTTTTTTACCTTTTTCAGAATTTAGTGGGAGCACATTCTACCACTGATGAAGATGATATTCCAAGGAAAGATTATGAGGTTTGCTTAGGAAATTAATAGAAAAGTACAATATAATAAATCAAATAATGATCACAGAATAATTTAAATAAACATTTTTCTTCCTGAACAAAGCTAGTGTCTAGCAAAGATTAAAATTGAAACAATACTTCAATTTTCGAATGTTTTTCAGAGTCTTGACTACGACAGCTGTGACAGCCATGTTTTACGGCAAGTAGTTGAAAAAGAAGAATCATGGTCAGCAAAGAACCTGGAGTTCATACGTTGGGTTGTCACATTCTTGATAGGAATTTTAACAGCTTTGGTAAGTGCTCATTGTTAGATTTTCATATTAGAAATGTATTACTGGATTTATGTTCTTAAAAAGTATCATGCCTATATTCCTCCTGATATCGAATTTTAGTTATGTATCAGAATTCTTGTTAAATTTCAGAAATTTTTAATTTTTATCACCAGTATTTATGTGATCATTTCTGACAGTATTTTTTCCATCTATTTAACACAGGTTGCTGTTTTTATAGATCTTATTGTGTCCTATCTCAACAACTGGAAGTTTGCAACCGTTGATAAGTGTATCCTTGTAAATTTGAGCTTATGGATGAATGAATGATTGATTATTTATTATTATTATTTATTCTGTTTTACTCTAAGATAGAAATGGCGGACTATATAAGGAAAATAACTTCCTATTCCCAATGGGATTCATCTACCATACATTGGGCGCATAGAGACCTTGTTTATTTGCACTATATAAATCCATCTATTACCATTATGAATGGTAGAATGATTTTTGAATAAATGCATAAATATACAAAAATAGATAGATGGATGCATAAATAGATGAGTGATTAAAACATAGTGTGAATTAATTAAAATGTTGATGCACAATTGATATATAATATAGATATAAATCTGTTACTTAATTGAGTGTTTGCAGGAAGGAAGACCTGGATGATTGAATGAATAAAGGAACACAAATTCAGAAATGTATTGATCTATGGAATATGCGTAAATTGTTGAATGAAATAATACAATGAATGAAGAAATAAATGAATGATATTATAAATGAATAAATAAGACCAGTAAATGAAAACCCTGTGAATATGTGGATAAATAAATAAATGAAGGAAAGATTACATAATACCAATTTTCTAATAATGCATATTTTATCTTAGTATTGTTTTCTTTAAGTTTTGTTATTTTTAGCCATAATTAAATGCAGTGAGGATGGCTGCCTTGTTGTATCTCTACTCGTCTTCCTGCTGTTCAATGCTAGCTTTGCGTTCATCGCTTCTGCACTTGTTTCCTTGGAGGTGAGTGTATCCATATAGCTTGAATGCTGTCTGTATAATGTACATTTCAGTTTTTCAAAGCTCTGTCGACATTATCATGATTCATGTGACGTATGTGTTGATTTGCCCATATATGGGCATGATCATATTCAAGGTACAAGGTTCAATTTATTCATCATATAAATATTACATGAAATTTGCTTTCTTTTTACACCCATATACTAATGCAATCACAGTGGTTTTTTTTTTCCATATAAAATTTCATAGTGTGCATTCAGTTTATATTAAAGAATTTTAACAAAAGGGTTCACAAAGTTAATTACACAAGGATTGCATCCAGTAATAGTAGCTTTTTAAAATTGATTATTTTAGCCTATCGCTGCCGGATCGGGTATCCCAGAGATCAAGTGCTATTTGAATGGCGTGAAAATTCCACGCGTGGTTCGGTTCAAAACACTTGTGTGCAAGGCGGTTGGTGTCCTCTTTAGTGTGGCTGGAGGTATGCACATTTGAAAATTTGTATGCATTTTTTATTTTTGTAAAAGTTTTATTCATTTTATTCTATTTATTGCTTTAATTAAATATATTTTTCCTTGTTTTCAGGTCTGTTTGTTGGCAAAGAAGGTCCCATGATTCATAGTGGTGCGATTATTGGCGCAGGTGTCCCACAATTCCAGAGTATTACTTTCAAGAAATTGAAATTTAACTTTCCATATTTCAGAACAGACAGGTGGGACATTCTTATATAATTTAAAATTATTGCTGGTATGTTATATTATATTGTATATTTATTATTTTATTATTGTCAGCATATTTATAATATATATTATTATTGTATTATTATTTTAAAAATCCTTTTGTTGTGTTTTAAGGCTCTTCGATTCCACCCACTTACAGTATCTCTCTGACATTCTTAACACCTATGTCCCAAACCAAAGAGATTTCTGACTGTCCCCACCTTCAAATTAGAATCATATAGTCAAACAACTGCTTTTTCTGCCTAATTTCTGTGGAATGACTTACCATTGTCTGTCAAAAACTCGCCCTCCTTGGATTTATTTAAACTAATTTAAAAACTCATCTACTTCAATCCTTCTAGTCTACTCTGTTTTCATGTTCGTATCAACATTGTCTTTTTACGTTTATGTTTATTACCCAACTATTTTATTCAGTCCATGCTCTATGTATACTTTCGCGCCTTTGATTTTCATTTTGAAATTTGTGCATAACAAATGTTTGTTTATTATTATTATGACCATTAATTTACTATTGCAGGGACAAGAGAGATTTTGTGTCTGGTGGAGCAGCTGCTGGTGTTGCAGGTATTCTGTATTATATACTTTTTATATAGCATTTATATGTGGCAAAGACAAGCCAAACCAGTCACTCGTCGCAAATTGTGTTACAGAGAAAATGGCCAAAACATGCTGGAATGTCAAATTTTTAAAAATCTATTTTATTGCACTAAACTAACCTTTATATATCTATACATTATTCTATGCTGTTATTTTCCCCATTTTCAATGTTAAAACAACACTTTTTAAGGATTTAAAGATAGTTTCTGCATGAGAAATGCCTGAAATCATAAACTTTGAAGGCTGATTTCTCATATAATAAATAATAAAGTTCTTAACCGTTCTGAATCAACAGAACAAGTGGCTGTCATTGACTACCACAGTAGTTGACAAGCTTCAACAGTGCAAAACAAAAAAAGGTCCCTAGAGGGGGAAAATATGTTAGCTGACCTTATATTTCACTTTCACGTTCCTTGATTTTGTTTTCTATTTTAGTATTAGCTAACCGTCTAATTACTTACTTATCTTCTCTTTTACTTTCATTCTATGCTTCCTTAACTTTCCGTGATTCCTATTTACCTACCTTTTCTTTCTTTAGTCTCCCTTTTCCTTTTAATTACCTTCTCTTTCCTTTCCCCTTTCTTTCTAATGCCTCCTTATGCATTGCTTCTTTAGCTTAAATTACCTTTGTAATATTTCCTTATCTTTCTTCTTTTTCTTTGTTTCCTATGTAACCTTGATTTTTCTTGTATTTACTTTATTTATTTTCTTTCCTTTTCATTTCTTATGCTTTTTCATACATATCTCATTTTATTTTATGTTATCGTTTCTTTCATATCCTGATTCTTTCTTGTCCTTTTCTTTCTTTTTACCATTTCTTAGGTTGTATATTGTTCTTTAAACAGCTGTGTGATTAAACACTTGTAACTTCATAAGTCATGTCGGATTTGAATGATTTTTTTACCATTTCATAGCTATTATTTTACTCTCTAACACTGTATTAATAACTCAAAATCGATTTTTGCGACGAGTGACTGGTTTGGCTTGTCTTTGCCACATATAGTGAATAACACAACATTTTGTGGGTGTGTTTAAGTGCTTCAAATAAAAATACTATTATTTTATAATTCTTGTCTTTTATTTATCTTATATTATAACTTTATTTCTTTTTTTTTTCTTTACTTTAATCCAAATTTGTACTTCCAATAGCTGCTTTTGGTGCTCCAATAGGGGGCGTCCTGTTTAGTTTAGAAGAAGGATCGTCTTTTTGGAACCAATCACTAACATGGAGAACGGTGAGAAACAGTCGCCTAATATGCTAGCTTTGTCTATAGGAATTCATTTTTGTGTTAGATAATTCAACATTGTAAATTTTGCCTCAACATTCAACTACTGTACGCTTTTAAAGAACTTGGAATCAGAATCAGAAAAAGACATAATTTATTTGAAATTGTTTTTCCAGTTTTTCTGTGCCATGTCAGCTACATTTACACTTAATTTTATCCTTTCTGGGATCAAGTTCGGCAACTGGGGTGGTGTGTTTCAACCGGGGCTTATTGACTTTGGAATATTCCAGGTAACTTCAGTCATGTGCATATCTATTAATAATGTTATGATATTCTCATTCACCAAAACGTCCACTGATTTATCTTAGATAAGAAAAATACATACTCCAAGTATTGAAATGCATGCCATTGTGTTGGGATTCCATTGAATTGAATAGAGTGGTGAATCACAACAACAATGACGTGTCATTTCAACACTTGGAGTAGGTATTATACTTTCTTATTCTCAATCAGGGTTTCAGGAAATTTGATTTAGACTTAAAATGGAGACCTGCTTGTGTGAGGTTTATGGTTTTTATTTTAAATAATGTAATAAAGTAATATCTCCAGAACTTCTAATTTAAACAAGTTTTATTTAAAAAAAAATCTATATTGATAACATCTGATCTACATTTGACTGAACACACCTCTATTTTATCACTAGTGTGGTACTGGTAAATGCAACTTATGGTCAGCCAATGACCTTTTAATCTTCATTGCAATGGGATTTGTTGGTGGACTCTTGGGGGCGCTTTTTAACTCTCTCAACAAGACTCTCACACGTTACAGACTACGCCATGTCTGCCAGAAGAAGGTTTATGTGAGGTAAGGTTAAACATAAAAACATTGCTCATTCATTCATTCATCATTCATTCATTCATTCATTCATTCATTCATTCATTCATTCATTCATTCATTCATTCATTCATTTATGGATTTTATTTATTCAAAAAACACATAAGCACCATACATACAATTAATAAGAAACATAAAAGAATATAAATGAAAAGAAATACAAAAAATTAAAAATTAAACAAAGTAACATTAATACTCATTCATAAAAGGGAGATAAAAATTGTATGTTAAATTAATTTCTAAAGGTATGTAATAGCTTGAATTATTGCACAAGTAGAACATTATTATTTAAATTATCATTAATTATCATTATCACTAACATCATTAACATACATAAATATTGCTTAGAAAAAGAAAGGACATCAATATAAACATTGAATTTTGGGATTTTTATAAAGAATGTAATATTGAATTGCACAAGTTGAACTTATCACAATAAAAATGAAAATTATCACATTTATAATTATCAGTAAATTTCAATATCATTATTAATTAAAAAGAAAAAGGATAAAAAAGGGCAATTGGTAGTAATGCTATAATATTTGGACACCTTGAAGTGGGAGATTTTTGTCATAATGGTTATTAACATTTTTTCAGGATCTTGGAAGCTGTTCTGATTGCTATGGTTACAACGTTTGTTGCCTTCCTGGCTGCCATGACACTTGGAGTATGCAAGAAAATTCCAGTAAGGCTTAGGCGGAACCAGAAAAATACTGTAGCTTAAGCAACAACCACAATAGATCATTTATAGATGAAAATTATTAAGTAAACTTGCTTTATTTGGGTAATGTTAATGTGGCGATAGTTAAGGGTCATCCAACCTTTTCTTTGACGTACAGTACATCTGTATATTCGGGCAGATTACTAGACCATTAATTTAAATTTCATCACATCGTACCACAGTGTTTGCTGTTGACAGAAATAAATATACTCCAACATATTTCTATATTTTTGTTTTTACCAGGAGATCCCATCTGATAACCATGCAACTCAAGAAGCATTCAACTCAACAAGGAATTACTTCTGTCAGGATGGTTATTATAACGACATGGCAACATTGTTCTTTAATCCTCAGGAAGTTGCCATCAAACAACTCTTCCACCAGGAAGGTGAGCAGTTGCTTGGAGTCACACCATCAAAAATGTTGTTAGATGGATATGAGATAGGCGAATAGGTGGTAGGATAGTGGAAGATGTTAGCTCCTAAATTTTCAAAATTTTTCAATACAAACCAGAATCTTTTACCATTAGAATTTTGATGAATGTCCCAACACTAATGTTCCCATTGTTAACAATATAATTGTTAATGAGAATCATTGGTTTTATTATTTTCAATTAGGTGCCTTCAGTCTTTCTTCTCTAGGAATTTTTTTCATGGTATTCTTTTTTCTGGCCTGCTGGACATATGGTGCGATGGTACCCAGCGGTTTATTCGTGCCTTGCCTACTCTGCGGTGCAGCTTACGGACGATTCGTCGGCAATGTCCTTAACGTGTGAGTTTAAGACTTCAATGGAACTACCTGCTATTTTTCCTCATCTTCTCTATGTTCTCCTCCTCACACATCTCCTTTTCTTCACCTTCTTTCACTTTCTTTTCTTTCTTCATCCCATTAGACTAAAACCTTTGAAGCAGCTTTGAAATCTTATGTGTAAATGTATATTTTGTTCATTCTAAAAATCTACATATCCTAAACTAACCAGCATTTCTCACATTTTTTAGGTATGTTGGCTACAAGAATATCTACACAGGAACATTTGCGCTGATGGGGTCTGCAGCATTTCTAGGGGGAGTGGTTCGCATGACAATTAGCTTGACTGTTATTCTTATAGAATCGACCAATGAAATCAGTTACGGTCTTCCTATCATGGTAGTACTTATGGTAAGATACTAACAGTACATTTTCTTAGGTATTTAGAATTTAGAAACTGAACAAATATTATTTTACTAAAATATACCTTCATTTTTTTGTAGGTTGCAAAGTGGTCTGGCGATCTGTTCAATCGTGGATTATATGATATTCATATTGACGTTAAGGGGGTTCCCCTTTTGGAGTGGGATGCACCAAAAAAGGCAGAGAGGTACAGTTTGGTAATCTTCAACTCTTTTAACTATCGTGAATCACCTCATTTTATGTTAATGAACCTATATTTAATGATTTTGACAAAGTATTAACAAATTGGTTATTTTATTACTCTAGGCTGCATGCCCATCAGATAATGGACACAGATTTAAGTTACATCTACCCGCATACACGTGTCAGATCCATCATCAACATGTTGCGTACAACTGCCCATCATGCTTTTCCTGTGGTCACGGAAAGAGAGGAAACATTGCTGGAACCAAAGAGTGTCTTGGCTCAGAATAACATTCTCTATAAGGTAAGTAATGAACCTCCTTCTGAGGGTGGTATAATTTAACAGTGTTGTATGTATTGCTACTAGATTTAAATGAACACTAGTAGCTGATGCAGTAGCTGAATTTTTATAATTTCAATGATTTCCAACAACAGAAGGAAAGAACATTAACTAGAGCTTCAGAACAGCGCCACCGCACATTATCAATCAATGATGGCATCTATGGAAGTTATACTGAGCGTGAACATCATATGCGATCTAGAACTCAACCTGCTAGTCAAGATGGCCAACAGCCTTGTAGTGAAAATACCAGTGGTGTTATTCTTGATCAAGAAAATGCAACGTCTGAGTCATATGTACAGTTAGTAAATCAATATTTATAATTGCTTATTTGTCTTCCGTTTCTACAATGATCACTGTGCTTTTCTTAGTCTTGTTTTTTTATTGCACAATGTGTTTTTTATTTTGTTCTAATGGATTTGAGTCCTATTTTTTTCAGTACTGAAATCGAAGAAAGATATCGACCTTTGACTTTTCATGGACTTGTACTTCGTAGCCATCTAGTTGTCCTATTAGAAAATAATGTTTACTATCCTGAAAACATGACAGTGAGTTTTTTCTTTGCATTCAATAAAATATGTAAACTTTTGCATAGGTGAAATTTAATAGTACTGTACACCTTTGTCAAATTCAAAATTATATCCATTTATTTGTTAAATTTGAAACAAATATTTACAGAAAATGTTTCTTTTGGATTGTTTCAGCGCGCAAGCCAACCGGAAATAGATTACGAGACACTGACAAAGTCGTACCCACGGTATCCAGATATCCAATCACTTAACAACCTTCACAGAATCAGTAATAAAATGATTATGGTATGGTGTATTATCCATCTTGAATATTACATTTGAAATTATTGTGAATTTTTTGTAATGCTCTAATCAGTTTTTTTTTATCACATCATTTTTATATTGAAAGGTCTGTATTCATTGTGTTGTGATCATTATTACTTCTTTATGACTTTGTTTTAGGAATACTAAATATATAGTATAAAAATATGACTTTAAATATTTAATGTAAAGTTTCTGTTTAAATCAATGTTTCTATGTTTATACTTATTTTAGGATGTGGAACAGTACATGACGTCATGCCCTTACACCATCTTGCCAGAATCCCCTGTTACCAAAGTATTTCAACTGTTCCGTACTATGGGGTTACGCCACCTACCGGTTGTCAATAGCAATGGAGAGGTATAATTAACCTTTTAATAATATTTGTTTTATTATTTATCTGTATTTCAAACAAGATATTTTTTTCAACCATTCACACAATGTGAAATTTTATTACTACAACACTGGATAACAGTTATGTAATAACAACTATGTAATGTTATAACTTTATACAATTATTTTAATTCAGCAGTTACAATATGCATAGTTTATTTAATTATAGACTCTATTTTTGGCTATATTTTAACTGATAGTACATCTTACTTTCTTTTGGAAGCCAATCTCTGTTTTTTATCTCTATTATTTTTAAAGTTGTAATCATTCTCTATTTATTTTAATTAAGGCAAATAAATGGTAGAAACATTTGTGAAGTGAAATAAATATGTTAAATGTATTGATTTGCAAAGTATGATAGAAACCCATAAAATTATGTTTTTAATTATTTTTTAATCAAATGTAATGATTTGCAACTATCTTAAAATCCATGAAATCCTTAAATAGAAATATATTACACATAATTTATAAAATATGATTTGAAAGCCTCCTGATTAAATATTTTCATAAATAGTTTTAAGAGTGTAAGTTAAATATATGTTTAGTATTCTTTATGAAAATTCATTTTTTTTTCTAATATAGATGTTATTTGAAATTACTGTAATTTAAAAATATCCTGGAATAATTTTTTCTTTACCTACATGGAATGCTTGTATACATGGGAAGTTTTCGAATCAGATATTTATGTTTAGGATTATATAGCACTTTCAATTGGCCTGTCTAACCATGAAGTACTGGATGTGAGCTCACAATCATGTGTACAGAAGCTACAATGAGATAATGTAGCGAGCCAGGCTGTGCTCTGAAGAAATTTGTAGTCTAAACCAGCCTGGGTTTAATCACGCCCTGAATGGTACCACTCTCTAGGATTAATCATACAAAATGTACAGCTCCACTTCATGGGGATTGGAAACTTCTTATTTACATTATTTTTTGTACTTAATTATTATCCATTTTTTTCTAGAATAATTTGCTTAAAAAACAAAAAAAAAATTTGCTGCTTAGTCCAAGATTTATGGGAACATAGAATAAAGTAACTTAAAGAATATATTAAATGATTGAATATAAAGTTTCACATGCTTGTGAAACTTTAAGCATCTATGCTAATATTCAACACTGATATATGCTTATTTGGTTCTTATTTAACCTTTAGTACCGTTTAGCTAGCTAACATGTGTTCTCCCACTGGACCTAGTGTGAGATTTAAGAGTGAAGCTATTTTGGTCCTGAGAAAAAAATGATGGATTTTAATTTTCTTGTCTGCAATATTCTCATGCCTTCATGATATCCAATTCTTCCCAGAATTCCTCCAAATCATCTTCTGTATCTTTCTCCTCTTCCATTATCTGCCCATCAGCCTCCTTTTGCTCCTGCTCACTCATGAACTCTGCTGTTCTTGGTGAGCGGATCGTTGTGGAGTCGGCTGCTAAGAAGGCTTCAACCGACATTCCTAGCTCCCGTTCAATTTCCTCCATAACATCCTCTTCTCTTGTTCCTTGCTGGGGCGTCTCAACTGACCTTGATATGTCACCCTCATCCCACTGTTGGGGAAAAAAAAAAATAAAAACAGAATTAAGAGAACGAACATTGCACTAACATTGTATTGATTCTGTTTCTCTGTTTAGCCGGACACTCACCACGCTCAATAGCCGATGCGATTCAGTGACGCATGTCCCTCAAAAAATTAGTCACGCGCCCCCCCCCAGTTTCCCCTCAAAATATTTTGACAGTTAGCGCCCCCTTAACTGATCATCGAGCCCCACTTCACCTTTGCATCCCCCATGAGCACCCCCACTTCAAGACTAGACTAGATACGCCGCTGACGTGATTCTATGGAAAATGCAACAACACCTGCGCAACTCGTAGTTTTTAATTACGATCCGTTCAGACTGGCACCGACAATGAGCAGACAGCACCGCGTTGTCTAGCGCTCACAGAGAGCAGAGTTGGATTCGTCAGCCGACGGTCCTTCGGTCGTCGTACGAAGCAGTGAGTGCCTGGTTTTATAATACACTAATACATTCATTTTGTTTGATTGATTGATTGGTATGTCTCCGTCATGGTTGACAGTTCGTGATTTTTGTGATAACATGCCACCTATGTCAGTTTGAAGCTAATTCGTAGACCTTTGGTAGAGGTTGCCCAACTATGTTGATCCATCTGGACGTAGGATGTCCACGGCCTCTTGTGCCCTCAATCCTGGCCTGCACCTTTCCTGTCGGTCATCTGGCTATGTGCCCAAATCAGCGGAGAGCCTGACAGTTATGAGTATCAATTAGCCTTTTTTTTAGGACCAATTTCTTTTAAAATGCTGGCATTTGTTCATTTTGCTGTCCAAGGTGTCCGCAGCAGTCTACGTCAGCACCAGAGCTCAAATGCAGTAACTCTTTTTTCACAATTTTCTTTTGTGAGTGTCGATGTTTTACAAGCATAGGTTGCGATGGGGAAGACCAATGCTTGAACTAGCCTTTTTTGTTGCTTGGTAACTTGGTCAGTCCAAATTTTTATTTTATTTATGTATTGGATATATTGAATAAATCAAATCACAATTGTTGTTCTATTACATAAGAAGGAGATGTATTAACATTCTAGTCTTTTGTTTTTATTGTAGATTCTTGGAATGATAACAAGACATAACCTCACAGAAGAGTTTCTAGAAAAGAAGTTACACCAACACCAACATTATGATTGACAAGCTCCAGTGTTAACATAGCAACCACCCGACCACCACCACTACTAACAAGTATAAGACAACATAATTAAGATTGTTTTTCAAATATATATTTTTTAACAAAAAACAAATTTAGAAATATATAAAATTATATTATAGCCCAAGGCAGTACTGCACTTTATAATGTTTTGTTTTGCTATACATTAATTTTTCCATAGCAACCAACAAAGTCAAAATTGATTTTTATATACCAGTATATTTTTAAACAAAAATTACTTGCTATTTTTTAAAAAGGAAATATTAAATTATAATCTAAAAATGTAATTAAGTTAATTAAATAATGTATTTCTAAATGTAATTCAGTTAGTAGAGTGTATAGTGTATCTTTGTTTTAACAATGCTTATATTGAAGAGTGAAGTTTCACAGAAAATGTAATTTTGAATGCCATCATTTTGACTACTGTATATTTAACAATGTAAAGACTAAATAAACACTGCTAAATAATGCACAGCTTCTGTCTAAAAATTATTAATGAAGTACAAATTTTCCATGAGTTTATGACCATGTCACAAACATTTTGGAAGAAAATAAGTGGACCAGTCAATAAGTTAGAAGTTAGAACGCAGCCAATCAGATAATAAGAAATAAAGGAAGTTTATATTTTTAAAAGCTATAGTGGGAAGAATACACCTCAACTACTTGATATATGATTGATGATTAAAAAGCCTATGATGTCATACCTCAAGATCGTCTGGTTCCAGTTGAGTTGGATCTTCTATTGAGTCCATGTAAACAGAATTATTACTTGACCTGTAACTTAGCTCGGACTCTGATGTCCTGGTAACGTCATCGTAATTATCATCGGCCACTAGTTCCATCTTAGCATGTGTGGTTACCTTACCAACAGAGTTAAACATCATCATTACTCATAATGATAATAATAATAATAATAATATAATATTCATACATAATTATCTTCAATGGCAAACAGCCTATCACACGCTAAAAGGAATGATACCCTTATCTGACACTAATAGGGAAATGGACCTTTTTGGAGTGTGTCAATCAAACTTAGAAACTCACCAATCAGAACAGAGACAGGAACATGCGCGTGTTTTAAGTGTTGTCCCACAAACGCACGTAATACTTACATTTACGCTGTTATTGTTTTGTAGGTCCTTAGCAACAATATCCAAGGGGCGGGGCTTAGCGGAAAGGGCCATTTATTATGCTCTTATTAGACATGCGATAATAATAGGTCGATTTATAAGGCGCAAATAAACAAGGTCTAAAGCTCTATACAGTACTGTTATTAATTATTATTATTATTAGTATTTATAATGTGGAATGATCAATTCGGCTATGCCCCACCACTTGCATATATATTTTCACAAAAACGTAAATGCGTTTGTGTGACACATGTTTGTATGTTTGTGGGACAAGCGCGTATTGTCCTGATTTGGTTGGTCAATTATCAAGATTGATTGACACTCAGACAGGTCCATCCTACAAGTTAAAAGCACTTATAGCATCTCCCTGCGCTTCTTTGAAAGAAAACGTTTGCAAACAGATACTTATTTCTTGAGAATTTCGTTAGTATCTCTATTTGCGATTAAGTGACAGTTCGGTTCGCCATAGAATAATAGACGTAGGCCTATACTTTTCCTTAGACTTACTTTTACATCGGCTTTGATATTATAATACTGATTAACAAGGGGAAGAATCAACTGTTGTTGAAAATATTTGCGGCACTTACCATATCCACAACTCTTTGTTCCTCCTCATCTTCTTCCTCGATTCTCGGAAGACTTCCTCCTACATCGTCCATTTGAACCCACGAGTCAACATCCCCCTCGTCTCCGTCGAACCTGTTTCCGTTCGGGTCTTCGACATCGTCTTCATCGGCGATTCGGTAGGTCGGGCTATTGCGCATTCTTTTGGAAGACTTTTGCTTCGGACGCTTGTTTTTTAGTAAGTGAGATAAGATCTGAGGGCTATGTCAAGAGAAACTTCTATCGCACGTGACCCACATTAATAATGCAGCGTGCGCGCGTGTGTTTGACTTCTCACGGCATTATGAGCTAATCACAGGATGGATAGAACAGAATTATTACTGTACTTAGCCTATGGCTTATTCCAGTGCGAAAGATAGGTGCATTTGGACTGTCAATTTAAACAACCAACCAATTGAGCAGATCAAATAATCAATCAATCAAATCAATCAATCAATTGATTGATTGATCGATCGATCAATCAATTAGGAGTCAATCAAATATTATTCAAAGTAATTAGTTACCCCGCATAAACAGTGGTGGCGCCAGCGGTGGAGGGGGAAAGGAGGGCACTCCCCCGTCAGACAGGCCTTGAACCTCTCTCCCTTCCTCGGTCGTCGGATCAAAAATAATAAAAAAAAAACAAAAACAAAAAAACAATTTGCCTATCCAAATAGCGTTATTTTAGTTGCCACTCCCTATTGTGGTCTAAAAGCAATAAGTCATAAAAACTCTCACCGTGAACCCTACCAAGATTTTTTTTACAGGAGTCGGACCGAAGGTCTAGTCGACCGGGACCCCCCGTCGGACATGTTTAACCACTTGTCGGCAAATTTCTGGAGCCACCGCTGCGCATAAATCCTAGAAACAGATTTTATTAAATTTAAAAAAGGATACAACAAGATTGAAAGTAATCATCCCGATGCTGTAGTAAAAAAAAAAAAAAAAAATAAAAAAAATATAAACATAACGTACAGAAAAATAAAATAATTGTGTTTTGTGATAATAACGCCACGCATTACCTTCCAATCGTCCATGGTAACGTATTTATGATGTAATCCGAGGTTTCCCGGTCGTAGGATAAAATTGATAAAACGTAGGCTATATTGGCGAATATTTGCAGAAAGTAGCAATAAAAAGACCTGCCCATGTGTGTCCGATGTCGCTTCTGGAAGGGAAAAAAATCAGGCTTATTGACGATATTTAACACTTGACATAAAAGATCTAAATCGTGGATTGTTATCTTCTTCAAATTTGCACAATGCGACCAGAAAGTACTGCCACATTGATGGCAAACTCGAGCCCGAATCAAATTTGGTTTGATTGTATTTTGTCACCAAATGTCCATACTGATCATCTTTAGACTGGCTAAAAATAAAGATATAAAATATTAAAATAAAGTTCGATGCACAGCAATTACCATCAGGATAAATAGACAATTATTGTGTTTCAAGTGCTCATTTTCTGATTGCCACATAATTATTCACTTTGCGGTTTTTAGATAATTTTCATTAATTAGACAAACTCATGAATTTAACAAAATTAAAAAATAAGTAGGCCTATATACAGGTAATCAACTAAGCTACTGTAATATGAAGACTTAAATATTAATCTACTGTTAACTCTAAGGTTTTATTAGTCATATGGAGCGCCAAAACCGTCAAAACCCTTTAGCATAAACCTTACCATTGATATGACCTCTGGAATCTTGTAGGCTACATATAATAAAGTGGAAATTGAACCGATTATGTAGCCAGTTAGTTCACCATCCTCCTGTACAATAAATCAAACGCAAATGTGAGACATGCGTTATCAAAGAGAAGTATAAAATAACGTGTAGATGAGAAAACTTTGTGGGCGATTAAATGTGGTGCATTGATTCTTAGAGAGGTTTCGTCACACTGTCTGAGGCTAGAACAACGTATACGCAAGCTCTTGGTGGGCGTACACTAATAAGAAACGAGATACTCGTTACGCTACTTAATGAATGTATATTGGGCTTTTGCGCTTCACCATAACTAACAGGAGACATGGAATGGAGAGCGATGTTACTTTGAACAAGTATTAATACAGTATACGCCCGTAATTAACTCTTAAGCAATAAATAACGAAAATAATTGCATATAATACCTGGAGGAAATCTTCAGATGCGCCGAGGAGGACGCGTCCACTCGGAGACCGTTTCTGAATTGATTCTCCTACTTGAGGCCTAGGGATCAACCAGCTGCCTAAATACGAAACTGTTAGGACACATGACGTCCCGATGCACAACACTCGGAAGCCTGCTCCATTCGTCTTATGTCGGGTTAATGAACCACTTTTCTGTTTGATACTCTTCCATTCAACTGAAATAAAGAAAATATCGACAAAAGCTAGAGTCTTAGAAAGATATATTGTTTCTTCCACCAGATAGTTAATGAGAGTTGATGGTGAGTGTAGTTATAATGCAGTTATTTTTGTAGAGAAACAAACAAATCTCATCCGAACATTTTTCCTTTGCTGACCATAGGTTCTGATGTATGATAAGTATGATTATTCAAAATATTAATGATCGTATAACAGATTCTTTTAATATACAATGCAACACGTTCGATGTTTATCACATAGGCTATTTGCGAAATAGGTGCAACATACTTACGATTATTAACGACACCTGGATGCGAAAAATTACTGTATTGAAATCCATCGACCGGTCGTGGCTTCTTCGCATATACATTGTAGAAGTACTGCCCAATAAATATGGTGTCCATCACCAGAAAATATATTGCTGTTAAAACCTGAAATCGAATGAAAACCTTAACCAGACAGGGACTCACGTTTAATATCGAGAGCCTACACCTGGAATATTATACCGCAGTTACATTGGGTGCATATATCATAGGCCTATAGACCATATGTTTTCCTGGAAATACAGTAGGCCTACAGAAAAACTTATTAATAAATCTTTTCATAATCGGAAATTAGTTAATATAATTTCATAGTTAACTTGTTTGGAATATGACAATAAAGCTTATCTTATCTTATGTTGTAAACCATTACAGAACTATTTGATATCCTCAACATTTTCAGAATAGATAAGTGAGTTGCGCTTATTTCAATACATAACATCGATATGCATTGACATTTTACAATTTAGTCGCAAAACGGAGGGGGGAGGGCACACATGCCCGCGTTCCCCTACTTAATTCGCGCCTGGTCCGCTTAACGTAAATGCACAGTTTGTTAACACGAAGTGGTAGACTGTTTCCGTGAGACACGTTTGCAGCAAATTCAATCCGTTTGTCAATTCATTCATAATTTATCTTTCGCTCATGTTGTTATTAGTACTTTTCCATGTCATTGTTGATTGCTGCCTGCTGTTTTCTTTTAAATTTTATATACATTTGTCATTGTATATTTGTCTTATATAGGTTTTGCTACGGGCGCATGAACTATCATTAAAACTATTTAAATTTACATAATTATCAAAAAAACTTATATAGGCCTATTTATTTTGATAAAACAGAATGAACTCTAATTAGCGTGCTGATATCGCACGGCAACGAATGAGGAAGTCGATCCTAAGTGTAGCAAGGTAAGGGAAAGCCAGACTACAGTAGCAATGGCACAAATACGTTGAACAATAAAGTTATTTATTGTTTTTGTACTTCAAATAACTTTTGTCATTTAAAACGTTGTCCGTAACGTCTGTCCTTCTTACCATGGTTCCAATCTGGTTGCTTAATACACAGCCGATGAGGTTAAAGACATTCGCCAAAGCCAGATGAAGTGTAAAAAATAGGTGATTAAAACTTGTCTTGGAATCCTGATAGTTCGTCTTCAACATTCTATAATCAAGAAAGTTTAGTGATTAAAGCTGCTGGTTTCCATAAAATCGATACAGGCTACCGCCGACAGCCGATTGGTTGATCGAATCGGGGAGCCTTCCCGATTGCGTTGGGGAGAGCTGCACAGTGTTTGCAGTTAAAGTCATCATGCTTTTTGTTTTATAATTTGATATAAAGCGCAGAGACACTGCGCGATATGCGCTATAAATTTAAATATCATTATCAAGACTGAACAACGACGACATATAGGCTACATATACACATATACATATACACATATAATATACCCATATACATATATATACATATATACCTATACACATATACATATATATATACATTATATATATATATATATATATACATACATACATACATACATACATACATATATATACATACATATAGATACATATTGTGTGGGGGTGTGTGTATGTGTGATAGGAGGACTAGATCACAGTCATTGTTGATTATTTGTATATTATGGGTTACTTACAGAAAGTGTGATCCAAACCAAAGAGCAATGGCAATAAACGAAACACCAAAGCCAATATGCTGAATAACAGACACCAAGCACATATTGAACACATTGTACACTCCTGCCGAACCACTTGTGCAGTTCTCCGACGAGTCATATCCGTTGATAGTAGCGTCGTGTTTCATCCTGCAAAGTGCAGCCTTTAGACCTAGAAGGGATCGAGGAAGGGGAACAATTATTGAGCCATCGAGATAAAAAACTGACATGTGTTAATTGTGAATAATTTTATTAAAGTTATATGTCTTTATGAATTACAGTACACCCCGGCCTCCTATGTTGCAGGCCAATCGCCTCGTAGATTTTTTCTAAAACAGATTATATTTTTTAGGAAATAATTCGGACTAAATCATCAGAACAACCTAACACAACTCACAGTTTGCCCAGTTTTTTTAGTCGCATGGGGATAGCCCATTGGACCCCACCAAAATATTGCCAGTAGACGCTCCGTCATAAATTATCAGACCCCGTGTCGGACGACATTCCACACCCCGACCCTTCCCGAATCTGCTTCCTTCACTTGTAGGCCTATACAGTGGCTAAAAATTGAAATTAGAAATGTTCAGTAATCAAGTAGTTCGATTTGTACAGTTATACATCTGTCTGGTGGTATCTAATAAAGTCGTTATTATATTAGCACGTATTAGGATTATTGCTTGCATTAATTAGCCCACATAAGGCCATTCATAGCAGGTCGTTATGTAACGTAATAACAAGGATTTATCGTAGTGACAAATAATTGGAAATTGACGTAGGCCTAGGTTATTATTCATAGTAGTTAGGCCACCTGCAAACTTTCTCACCATATAGATAATATTCTATATAGGATTGTAATAATAATAGTGATGATGATTATTATGACGATTATCTATACCACTATACTTATGATTGATTATTTTTAAGATTATGAATATTACAATTATCATTAGGCATCAACAACATCATTATCCTCATCATCAACATTATCACTGTTGCCGTCATCATAATATCATTATTAATCATTATTATTATGTATGAATTATTACGGTGATTGTTTATTATCAGTACTACCGATACCACTACTGCCGCTATTACTACTACTATGGTTTTACTACGGCTCCTGCTACACAGTTGCTGCTAATTATAGGCCTACTACTAAATAATAATAATAAAAACTATTATTATTTTCTTTTTTTTAAGTTGTGGTCTGTAGGCCAACTGTATGTATTGTACACATCAAATCAATTTGTCGGATTCGTCTGTATATAAGGTATGTCCGATCGTAATCTGATCCGTGGGGCGCGCGGGTACCGGTGTAAAAGTGCCAACGTAGAAAAACACTTATATAACAACTAAAATGTGTACGTAGATATCGTTTGGTGGGAGAAGCCTTGTGATTTTAATCCAACAAAGCCATAAAGCTCTTAGGTGGAAGCTATAAATTCAACCATTCGCCGGCTAATGTACAGCGGAGGTAGTCCGACTGTGTGGATATGCTCGTTCCGTCAGTGACATAATTAAAGTGGATAAACTTACGCTTATATTGAATAAAATACTACGTCACACAGAGCGTAGCCTGACGATTTCAACGGTACCGTAATTCCTATTTATATTTCGCAAGTCTTCGGTAAAATCGTAGAGTTGAGTTTCCTAGCCGTTTACTCTCCACTTCGCCATTTTGAATACGAATGTGTCTTTGAATGCCGCAAGCAAAGTCCACAGACCTGACTCGTTGCCTTATCAGCACTGTTGAACAACCCGGTTATAGAAAAAAATAATAATGTGTATTTGTAATATCTATTCACACAGTCGCGTTAGAGTTTATGTACTGTGTTAAGTAAACAACCAATACAATATACAGTACCTCATAAAACGAACGCTCCAATTTATGCAAACATTGGCGAAAAACTGACAGTGGGTGGGACCGGAACACTATTGACGGTGGACCCACAACGATTCGCACTACCGAATTGTGATATATAGTACGGAACGGTATATACTAACAATAGTACCACAAAACCCATTACCGACAAAAGGAGGAGGAGGGATAAGTAGGGAACTAGCTAAGATTCAACTGGAAAATTTTCTGTATGGACTCTGTATGGGGATAAGGCGTGTACCCCCACAGCCCCGTAGATACGTCACTCCTTACCGGTTTAGTCAGGAAACCGTATGCGAAGGTCCCGGGTTAAGTTTTGTTCATAGACAGATCCTACCTCTTAATGTTAAGTTTCAATTAATATGTATTAGCAAGATTGATGCATCTGGGGGTTTGGTTATTGGGCTTTCAGGGGTAACTGTTTATAAGCGTTGTTTGCACTCATTTCGTCGGAGAAGAACGTAAACAGGGCTTCGTTGACCAATTACAGTATTCTCTATTTTTGGCTGTTATAAACTCTAGAAGTTAAATCAATGAAAAAAGCTAGATCGATTATTAATAGAATCGAGTTATCTCCATCCAATGAGACACAAATCAGAGCAATTACGTAATCGCTGATTTTATGGCCCATGCAAGGAATTTTATATGCATGATATTATTTGTCTACTAATTGATTGGCAACGACATTTTTTTCGTTCTTAAATTCAATCAAAAGCTATTTTTCTGAAACTTACAATAAGCATGAATGCAATATTATTCTAGGTTAAAATTTTTGTAGGCTCAATAGTAGTGCAGTTATAGACAAAGAGGACTGAACACACTGAATTAATCAGACGCGAATTACAACGTACATGAACAGGGCCGTTCCTAGGATTACCACTCAGAGGGGGTGGGGAGGTGTGGGGTCTCAAAAATTGAACTAGGCCTACATAGGTTAGAGCATGGGGTCACTTCTTTAGGATCTCAGTGAGGTCAAATATCAATATCGCGGAACTATGCCTAACGATAGATAGGCCTATCTGGTTAAAATGCAAGTATCTAAGATTAATTTTTAATAGGCCTAATTACAGCCTGATGTAATAAAATTTAAACCTGTACCAAATTGAGAAGGGTGGGGTGGGGGTCCGTACGCACCCATTGCACCACCTGATTAAGGGCCTGATGAGTGTTGCACTGAAGTATTAGTAGAGAAGTTAAAACATGGATACGACAGATATATTTTTGATGTAACAAAAGAAACAATAACATTTCGTATTACTTTGGGACTACTTTCCGCACACCAGACTTTTAATGTACAAAATAGAAAGCACTAATAAAAGTAGTTTGATCTTGATTGAGCGCATTTTGCTAAAAGACTCAATGCGCTTTACATAGAAGTACGAATCCGGAGTTGTTTGAATGTGTCGTTCATAATTAAAATAAATAATCAAACAGGACACTTAACAATTTTTAATAATCTGTGACTTTGGTCACTTTTCTTGGGATTGACGTATTACAAATTTTTATTATTAATATTATTATTATTATTATTATTATTAGTATTATTTAAAGCTTCCAATTCGTAATTTCATCCGATCAATGGCATCACTAGAGTCAAATTATTACCGAATGATGAATTCATTTGTTAATAACAACCTTTTCTGATCGGATACATATAAGAAAATTACGGAATTCAATCATTTTTGAGAAAGCAAACTTCTCTGGAATGGTCAGAGATGAAACTGAATACAATCTATAAGCTAAGTGGCACGACGATAGTCAAGGAATTTATTATCCTTTTTGATAAACGTATTGAGAAGATAGTTCTGGAAGCTATTCTGCAAGGAGTTATGATGGCCTTTTGAACTTTTTACTATGGTAATTTTGATTGTCTGATATAAGCGGATACTTGCTTGGTTTTTACCAGCTCAGTTCAATAGATAAGATAATCTTTTTAGTCCAGCTTAATAAAATCGAAGAAAAAAAAATATGCGAGAAACAAAATTAACAATGTAAACCGAGACAGCAAAGAGTATTGGAACAGGTTTAAGTGAGCAGCATACATACGATTTCTAAGGAAACAGCCGACAATAAATTTAAAATATAGGCCTATTTGACATAACGGTAGGTCTGTGTGACGTATGCATTTGGTTTTAACTATAAAATCCTGCTCATCCATCCTGAGTGATATCGCCGATAAAACAGAAATGAGATGTAAATCATCACTGGTTGCTATAGCAACGTGACGTAATAGCATATTACTGAAAGTGGAATGTGCAGTAATGTTGAGCAGTGTCGTTATTTCTCGATGACTTCTGAAAAACGAGCCCACTCACACAGAAATCTAGAGAGGCCTTATTAACATAATCAAACATAAAGCTTCCTTCGCACCCAGTCTCGCAGTTTTGTAATTTAATCATAATCATCCCTGACACGTCGTCAACACCTTCGTTTCAAACTAAAGCATATAAATAACTATTTATACGCTAATTATATTACTATTATTATTATTATTATTATTATTATTATTATTATTATTAATTATAATTGTATGTTACATTGCCCACAGCATTTGGTTTTTTTTTCAGCATCGCGATGTTTCAATAAGCTATGGCAACAAACGATAATTGTGACACTGGAAGAAGCGAACTCGGACGAGAAAGTGATTCAATGCCTCTTTTTCCATCTTCAGATGAACAAATAATAATAATAGAATAAAGAAACCTAATACACTACTGAAATCCTACTTATAAGGCCTCTAAATGCTAGAAGTAAAGATGAACAAGAAATGTAAAAATATAACCTTTGAGGTGTTTTGGCGATCAATTACTTTTTCTTTCTGTTCGGTCGTCCCCCTGGAAATGAGATACCTTACCCTCTAAATTTAGGCCCTTTAAATAAATATATATTGTAATCTATTCACTACAAGAAGGTACGGTGAGAGCCAATATTAACAATTGGGATAATTTCAAATACAATAACACTTTACTTAACCGTTATTATATAGGCCCATTATTAAGTGTTATTATCTTCACTATTATTAATGATATAACCGTCGTCACAGTAATCATCACTGCCAAATTCATGCTCCTCTTCATCATCGTCATTTTCTCGCCATCATTGTTATAATTCAATCTACTTTATTACTTGACTACTCTAAATACACATATTTAGAACGTGCTACATATGACGTCACGCCCGTATGCAATAATAATACAGAACCACACTGTATTACGTATGTCATATGTTGGATTTATTTACAATAGATCGAATCTACAACCTTATAAACGCTGAACAAATAACTTATAATTACTTTAATTAAAAGACCGTAACAAATTTACAATAAAATGCTATTATTAACACCACATGTTTATAGAAACCACAATGTGAACGACAGAACAAAGTATAGTAAAAGTCGACGTATATGGCAATGCATAAATTGTACATAACATCGTTTCACACTATAGGCTTGTCGTGAAAGTGTATGAACTAAACATTTCGGTTGGTGACACACACGCTTCCATAAACCATGTCCACACGAGAATTAACAGTTGGTACGTTGAAAATGTATCGCGGAACTGACAACGTTGAAAATGTATCGCGGAACTGACACACTGAAACTTATAAAAGTTATAAATCGGACTACGGTAAATTTGCAGGCTTTTAAAAACTATGGTACAGTACTTTACTATTTGGGAGTTTTCGAAATCGCAACATAGCAAGCCATCTAAAAATGATTTTTAAATTTTGCACGAAAAATTTGGTCGTAAGTCTGCGTCCTGAACAAGAAAATTTCTATGCATAATTATTCGAAGTAGGCAGAGCCAAGTCAGAAAATGTGACGAGTGATTCTGAGAACTCTCTATAAAGTTTGTTTCACTAGTTGGGTATATTATTGGACGTTTTTTTTTTACAATCAACTGAAATGTGTTAACAGCATTAATTAACTACACATAAACATAAGCCATATGAAATTAATAATAATAGACTAGTGGTTTGGCACCACTTCCTGAAATGAAATTACCAGTATTCGTTACAACACTAATTTTAAAAAAACAAACACAACCAAATTAAAAAGGTTCAAAAAGTAATGAGTGGATATAACATGTCAGTGAATCGAAAGAAAAGACAAACATAAATAATAAAATTACCTTCATTATAAAATCATATATTAAGTATATTTCAGCTACTCTATCCAGGGAAGCATTCAATGAAATAACTAAACCTACCAAAATTTAAATATACATATAAGATAATATATGCCTATTCAAAAACCTCCATGTACATTTAAATCTTTTTAATATTGGGGAGGTTTTGTACTCTGGTTCCAGTTACATAACTATTTATGTATTGACAGGCTGTGATAATGTGATTTATATGCACATAAGACAAAGATTGCTCCATAAGTTAAGACTGTTTTCACCTGTCTGGTTATTTGTAATACAGATCAACAATATACAATATTTATAATAAAAATCTCCCTGACAATATAATCCTAACAGCACCAACTTTAATATAAACTGATATTAATAAATAATAATGATGCTAATATTAATATAAAAAAATAATTATAATAATAATAAACAATAATCATAATTAAAGTACCAACTATAACATTATTTTCACTTGACTTCACAGTGTAAACCATTGGCTATATATGTTAATAACTTACTTTTTTTGTATTTCTGGTCTTTATAAAGAACTTTTATAATTATGGCATTAGACCTCACAAAATTCTTTAAGCAAATTATGACAATGATGAGAAAAAAATAAATGGAAAAAAAAACAACACAGTTGTAAAGAACCTGAATAGTGGTATGAAAGCGGATTGGCGCAGTAGTAAAATTTTGGTTTCACAAAATCGAGGTTAACTCCTCACTGTGCATTACCCTCTTATCCTTTAGCAAAACACTGTATCTGCATTTGCCTCTCTCCATCCAAGCATATAAATATATGGGTACCTGGCATGGTTGCATGCTCCTGCACTGATACATTAGGATCCAATGACCTGGGATGAAAATGTGCTTTGTAACTGAAAGGGGGACACCCTAAATCTGCCCCTGAATGCTCACTAACATAACTTAACAACTTCCACATTTGAGAGGAGTTAAATAATATTGCCCTGTAAATTTATTCAGACAGTGACATTACTTAATAACACCTACAAAGTTACTATGTCATTGAAGTGTAGCAACATGCCACTGCAAATATGCTGCCTCCATAAAGTTGGTAATACTTTGGTCTGTATAGTATCAGATAGTTTACACACCAAATTACTATACTTCAGACCTCAAAGAGCTGTAGCCTGTCTTAGCTTGGTTGGTGGTGAGTTAGGACTAATAATCATAATGGTCGATTTATAGACTGAGTATTGTACAGATGTCTATGATCAAGCACATATGGGACACATACTCAGGGGCCAGATTTATCAAACTAGATATCAACTTAAATTTGTCTTAAATCCATTATTTTGCTTAAGTCCGATTTATCAATATGGCTTAGCTTTAAAATTGCTTAAAATTAAAAAGTTGATTGTAAACACGCGCCATCTAAAATGACTTGTACGCTAAGATTTTGATAAGATGCTTTGAATCATCTTAAGATATTGGCTTAGGGACATCTTATATTTTTGACTTATGAAATTTGCTAAGCTGAGATTGATAAATCCCCAGGTCAGGTCCTTGCGTAGAATTCCATAATGTTGCAGCTGTAATCAGTGTATTTTTTATGTATGAACATACCAGGTACCCACTTGTACTCCTGCGTGGAGAGAGACAACCGCAGGTAAAGTGCCTTGCCTAAGGACACAAGTGAAATACTCAGTGAGAGATGGAAGCAGAACCGCTGCGTCTCTTAGCTGGTTGGTGGCGAATGGGACTGTTTATCAGCAGATAGGTTGCAGACCAACTATCTACAGACCTCATGGAGTTGTAGCCTGTCTTTGCTTGGTTGGTGGTGAGTTGGGACTGCTCATCAGTAGATAATATACAGACCAACTCACTACAAACCTCATGTCTTTGTCTATAATAATAATAATAATAATAATATTAACAATAATAATAATAATAATAATAATAATAATAATAATAATAATAATAACAATAATAATAAAAATAATAATAGGATTTGTATAGTGCATCATGCAAAAAAGCCTCTATGTTTGTTTTTTGTAGGTGAGTTAGACTGTTTCACTAGCAGATACCCATCAGGCCAACTCACAACCACCCTTTCAGAAATTTGGTTCAAATAACTCTCTCTGCAAGCAAGTATATTCACATACAAAAATTAGACACATCAATATCAACGTTAGGATATTTTTAGTTTGCAGCACCAGATATCGGTCTGGTCAAATAAAATCTATGCAGCTTATGCTGGAGTTTCTAAAATATATACATAGCTAATACACCCTATAAAATATTTCAACTTTTTACAGAAACCACTGAAATTTAATTTCAATGTTGTTATTTCATATTTTGTCTCTACACAAACATTAATAAATCTAGATTTACTTAAAAACTATAGACTTTGTTATTTATCAGAAAATATGCGATTCTCATAAAATAAATGTAATAAAAACAAGATTTTAGCATTTTAGCGTAGGAATTTCTTTCAAAAAAACTTTTGACCTTATCTAGCAATTTCCCAAATGCTTTGCTTTACTTTTCATATAAATTTTTGTCTCAACAAAGTTAATTTAGCCATCTGGCTTGGTAAGTAACAACTGAATCAATTTTGTAATATAATTTGAATCTATAACAATATTATCATTTCTAAAATTAATTAAAAATAATTAACAAAAATTTCATTTTGTAATTATATTACATAAACAAATTAAAATAAAATATATTTGAAAATCATATGAGAAAGATTTGTTTCCACTATACACTTCTAAAATTTATCCTTCTTTGGTACAGTAGGCTGATTGACAACAAAACTTATTTTATCTCACCCTGTTCCACTTATATAATGATTGTACAGTACTACTAGCAATAGAGTTGTAATGCTTACATAATATATAACATTTTCTACTTTTTGACAATAATTATTTTGTACAAAATGAACTCTACTTTAGATAGATATATGTATTTTGGCAAAAACACAGTTGTATCATTTACTTATATGAAGTTCTTAAAAGGTATTGGCAACTCATAAGAATGAACTAATTATTATTATTATTATCATCTTAGAAACATAGTTGTATCTTAGCAACAATGCTGTATAGAGTAGCAACACCTTTGGTATATGTAACTTAGCAACTCATCAGCACCTTAGCAGAACTCCTAAATCACAAGTACGTTGCTAAATTGTATCTTAGCAACTATACTATAGCTATCAATTCAAGTACACAGCCCTTCATTAATATTATGGATTAACAATTCTACACCAGTAAAATAGTTAAAATGTTATGCTCTAATAATTTTCAGGCATGTAGCATTTACACAAGAGTATCTTAAGGTGTTGATGTACCTTTGCAACAGCTAATACTGCTGTGTCTATGCAATGCTTTACATACAACTGTGATTACAATACTACAATTAGTAAACTAAACCAGCTGCATCTAATAAATGCAGCAAAGTTCTACATACATGGGTAAACCTACAATACTGCATCTTAATAACAATCTAAACATTTTTTTATTACAAAAAATAACATGTCCTGAGAAATTAATAAAAACATTCTAATATTCCTGCTTGAAATCAAACAGAAAAATATTTGCTTAGTATGCAGACAAATCTTATTGTCTACAGTATAGCACCACTTAGCCTTAGATAGAGCTCAAATGGAAACAAAACTCATTTGTCATCTTGTCATTACCACAACATAAAACCATCCCCATCCCATCCCAAAACAAATCCCAGTCTTGACCTGAAACCATCTCATATCTTCATTTTTTTTTATAGTACAATCATGAATGGTAAAATGGTTGTAAAAATGACACATCTGAAAAAAGTGAAAATGAGTGATACTTGTCTGCTGCCCTCTACATTCTGAATTCTTAGCTTCCACTTGAGATGTACGCTGCCCTCTACATTCTGATTACTTGGCTTCTACTTGTGAAGTGACTGAACCATTGGTCTGTGATGCTTTTCTCATTTTAGTGTCGCCATTTTTTATTCTATTTTCTCCATTTTCCTGACGCTCTTCTTTGCGTTTTTTCTCTTCTTCTAATGCTTTCACCATGTCGGTGTAATATTTCAGAGCTTTTCTAACTGGTTCTACAATATGCTCCTGAATTAGGAGGTAAAAAAAAAACCAAGAAAACATAATCAACAAATAATAACATTCTGTAAAGTAGATCAACTAAATTCCCTGATGTTGACTCAAAACAGATTATCTAACGATACAGTACTTCAAATATCCAAAAAACTCTTTCTATTGTTTTTGTACTGAATATCTGACAGATAAAATCTACCACATTAGTGATTCTCATAATGCACTGTATAGCTGTTGCAAAATTTACATTACATTACTTGGATGCGACTTTAACATATTGATTCTAAATTTCAGAAAGTTAAAATTTTGTAATTCAGTATTTTAGTTCCGATGATTGAATAATAGATCTTTTTAGGTGGTACTGCCTCTCTTATACTGCCCTCATCTGAGCTTTCGAGATTACGAGAACTTGTTTTTAAATCTGTGTCTCATCGGAAGTTAATTACCATATTTAATACTTTTAAATTAGGAGATAAATGTTTTAATTTAAAATTTGCAAGTTTACTAGATTTGATGATGATAGCATAGCTTTCTAAAAATAAAACAAAAACTGTTCAAACAAATTGAATTAATCAAAAATACATTGATTTTCAGTCAAGGTCATATACCGTAATCTAATTGCAGTGATGGATGCAAAATGGAAGAAATTTATTAAGTAATTAACACAATGTAAGCATAGAATATAGAAAAACGTACTTAGGGCAAGCACATACTTAGGGCAAACACATACTTATTGCAAGCATGTACATAGGCCAAAAAAAAATTGTTGCGTTGCCCAAGCACAGTGAAATAAAAAATTATGAGGGATCAATCATCAATCTTTTTTACTATCTGATTTATTTTAATTTCAGTGCAAACCATTAATCTACTTCAACATTTTGGTTGATAAAATTGGAACAGGACTAATATACAGGTTAATGTATCATAGTTTAAGATGTGGCCTTAAAAAAATGATAAAAAAATTACATTACGTAAATTTCTGCAAATTGAAAATGAAATTGCCATCTAATTTTGATTTTCATGCAAGGAAAACAAGATCATTGGGACATCAGAATCTTAAAACTGACTCTGGTAAATTTGGTAAATGTCCACTTATGCAGCTCTATTATTTAAATAAATAAAAAAAGACCTGCAAACTGAAACTGAAACTTACGTCAAGAACGGGAAAGACGGCTGCTAAACTTTCAAAAAGCGGCAACAGGACAAATCCGATAAATCCAACCTGGGATGATGGCTTAGTTGTCTTCTCTCGATCCATGAATGGGGCAACTGGTAGCCCTTCCAATTTCTCAACATCACCCTAATATAGCATGTAATTATGTAAATCAAAGTGGCAATGTGGCTTTGAGGTTAAGATGCATAACTTTCTGTCTATGGATCCCCTCCATATTAAAATACTATATTTGATTTGTTATTCCAATACATAATGTTCTATAAATATTCTTGCTGGTTATGAAGACACTGAGTATAAAAAATATCATTGCAAGTTCTAGCTAACAAATGTGACAAGTGATGGATTGTGTCGCATGGTACACCACTAGTCATGTTATGTCATCAATTACTCCATGTTTTTATTTCCTCACCTGGTTGAAGAATTCTTGGAGTAAGCAATCTATCCACGGATCGGACACATCCATCGGTCGCGCCTCGTTCGAGATGTCAGAGACTTTGATGCAGATCATCATTAGCTGGAATGAAAAAAGGGTAGAAATTGGGAAAATGTGGGAGTAGGAAGATATGGAAGAAGTTTAATTAGGGAAGGAAAAGGAATTTATTAGAGAAACAAGTATTGCACATGGACATGATAAAATTATTATGATTTATAAATATTTTGATGGAGACAGTGATGACAATGATACTGATGGAGACAGTGGTGATGGCAATAGCGATGATGATGATGATGATGGTGATTATGATAGTGATTATAATCATAATGTATGTAGCTATATTGAAACAAATGTTGATACCTGAATTTACTGGTATTGACATAATTCCAAAAGTATTGTAGAGTAATCAATTTTCCCAGACGTAATGTACTTTATCTACTGTACTTTGAACATGGATTCTATTAATAAATACTGCGACTAATGATAACAATGATAATTACAATGACAACAATAATACACAAACATACCCAATAATAATACCCAAACATTTACAAGGTGCCAATTCCAAATTGAATATCAAAGGCACGAGCGTTATTACCCCTGGTCACTGGATAACGTACAATGGCAAACCAGCACAAAGTGCAACCTTCTCTGCTCCCTGGGGAGTATCCCTAATCGTTTGCTACTTCTTTAGCGCATGAAACTATGAACATTCAATGCCACAACATCCTACCAGGTACCCATTTATACTCCTGGGTAGAGAGAGGCAAACGTAGATAAAGTGCCTTGCCCAAGGACACAAGCGACTTGCACAGCGAGAGTTTCGAACCCCTGACCTCAAGGTTTGGAGTCCAAGCCACAATCGATGCGCCAACCGCTTCTACAAACAAAGCTGAAGTTGCCACTAATTGGTGATAATAATGAGGATGGTGATGATTTAATGATACTGAACATGATACCAGTTCAAAGTCCATCCTAAAACATCATTAAGAGATTACATTAATGATATCCAGCCATACAGATAATGACTTGCCGACTTACAGCAGTATTCAAATTCAAAATTAATGTCACAAACTAATCTTACTCGCGATTAACAAGGGAGCAAATGAATTCTGAGAAACTGCAGGTACTACAGTAATAAGCAGCAGAAGCTATTATCCTCTAATATTATTTTAAAAATATGTTATATTGGATCCAGAAGAATGCCTTGTATAGTGCAGCTTGCTGTGTCATCTATGCAGTGGTGGCTCCAGAAATTAACTGACAGGGGATCCAAACTAAGGGGCTGCATAGAGCCTTAGTCAGGATTCCATAATAAAATAGTGGGATTCAAGGTGAGAAATTGTATGGTTTATTATGGCCTAAAATTGTGCTTTAGATAACAATATCAGGAATCGGCAATCAGAATAATTTTTCTTTGAATTGGGAAAATTAATATTTTTAGAGCAAGTGCAAATATGCATGTGTGGAAAAGCATGTGAAATATTATATCGAGTAAAACTGGTATTGAAAAATTAAATGTTGTTTTTACCTAATGAAGACTTTTGAATAGTTAATATAAAATATACAAATTTTAGCATTATTAAACAATGTGTATTGTGGGATTTATTTCCAGCTCGTAAAATAATCTTATAGCTTCCAGTTTGATGACTACCGACTCATAAATCTGAAAAAGTATGAAGCAGAAATCCTGATCGATTTGTCGTAAAATTATGATGTCATTTTGATGTGAAAAAAAACAACATTTTTTACTCATTTTGAGAAATAATTATCTTTTGCTAGCGACGCACAGGAAACAGAAGCTTAAAAGATGTACAGACAGATTCTTAATTGGAAAATTTTGAGAAGGATTTCAAGAATATTTTGTTACACATTTTGCAAGGTAAACCTTATATTGAATTCTTTAGTATTACTCTTTTCATTCTCAACTGACAATGAGTAGCTCAATAATTAAAAGCCAAACACTTATCTTGGCGATGATCGATTTATTAATACTCTTTATGAGACCACTGACGGTTTGAGATGAATTGCTGCAGTGGTGTATCTAGGAGTATTAACCCTTTCGCTGCGTAACCCCAGTACTACCGGGTATAATTAGACGTCGTTGAACTGCGTGTCCCCGGTACTACCGGGGGCATGAAAATAATTCTTTTAAAAATTGTTCCTGTACTGCAGGTGCCCTCTATAGTTGTTTATGAACTAGAGGTAATTTTTTTATTGAATTATATGGAGTAATGACTAATTGTTGCGAAAAACTCATCTTACAGCGATTTTTTTGGAATTTTTTTTTCATGATTCTGCCGACAAACATGGATTTTTGTCTGTTTTTGAATAGAATGATGAAAATAATTCAAACTATTGATTTTTTAAAATTACTTTATGTATCTTCACCATTATCCAAAGAAAAAAACAGCATCCCATAAGAATTTCTATTTTTTTTTTAGATTCATGAAAAATGAAATTTCCAGTATGCCCACCCCAAGGTCACATGACCACCAAATTAATTCCAATTAAAATTTTTCCCGTAGGCCAACCTCTCTCCACCCTAAACACAAAAACAATTTCAAAATAACCTCTTTTAGTATTTTTTGGGGCATTTATTTCAAAATAACCTTCTTAAAACGGCCTAGCATAGGGAGTGTATTTACCTGCAGCAGTGAAAGGGTTAACTGGGGGAGAGGTGGGGGAGAGCTATTGATACAAAGGTTAAGTGGGGGCTTAATGACTTAAAGTGAGGGAGAGTCAGCTGGAAAAATAAAATAATAAGGTCATTTTCAACTACTTTAAAATGCAGTTTATTTTGCTCAAAAAATTTCCCGTGGGGAAGGCGGGAGGCTTCTTTTTGTGGGGATATTTGCTTTCTAAGCTCCTGTGTAGATACCTGAATTGCTAATGATATGTGACTTTATGGTTAAAATGCCACATTTCCAGTACTAGTGGTTTGGGTTCAAATCCTGCAAGTTCATTTTATTTTAACTTTTACTTCAGCAAAACATTTACAAAAATACACAACAGAAACAGAAAAGAGACAGGTTTGAGAATACCCTTTAAATTAAACTTTATTAATGCTGAGAGGTTCTCAAGAAAGCAAAGGAGAATGTCATAAAATGTAATATATAGAAATAACTAACTACAAATATCACATTTTACAAACAGGAATATATCAAACTTACTTTACAAACTAAAGGGTTGCTGGGTGGGCATATAACTCTCCTCAACAAATAGTCTAATCAGATTATGTTTATGACCACTTTCCCCTGAGCTTCAACCAGAAATTAGTTTGCTAGAGATTTTTTAAAAACATAAATAAAACAAAAATATGGAGACTTACGAGATCTTTGTGTTTTTTCTTAGAGTAGTCGATGTTGTCCTTTATTGATTTGAATTCGTTAAGAATTTCATTGTGCCGCGCCATGTCTGTGGCGAGGATTGTCTTGATCATGCCTTCTCTGACTCTTTTGTAACGTTCTGGACCAATGTTCTTGAAGATGTTGCAATGAGGTTTCTCAAGGATCTCGAATGCGATAGCGCAGTGGTGGTTTTCCAACGGGGAAATGTCGTTGTACCGCAATGCAAGTTCTGTTTTCGCATTAACCTGAAAACAAAAATACAACATCATAATCATTCACTACTAAAAATATTAATACTATCATTATTCTTAATATTTTTATTCTACTGTTGGAAAATGTATAGCTAGGTAAAAGCATGTTGCAAAGAAATAATAAACTACAATATGAACACTTGCATAGAACAACAATATGTGCATAAAAAGACCATGCTTTTAAACTGAACTCCCGAGGGGCACTTATATGCCAAGGCAATTTGTCACCACGATCACATAGATCTATAACATGTTTTGTTTTCCCCTACTAAAACAATCAAGTTGATAGCTCCAGTGAGAAAGGCAGCCATGGATTATACAATCATATACGTGAAGCCGCAGTGGCAACTGCAATCTTGTTATCGTAACACAACGCCGTCCGATAACGAAGACATCATCAAACGTAATTGATGAATGAGGTAATACTGTATGTTGATCAAGATACAACATGTGTGTCATGGAAAAAACTCATCAATAAGAGATGTTTGACTAACGATTCATCTGTAGATAAGTTGGAAATTCAGACGAAGATATACAGCCTGTTTAGAGTTAAAATCTCTAACAATAAATCCTAAATAATACCATTTCTTTATTTTTTGCAGACCCTTCAACTGGCTGGTAATCAATTTGAGGATTGTTGTACTGAAGCCTATAAATCAGTGAACACTAATTTGTTTCAATCCGTGTTTCCCTGCATGAAGTTGATAACTTTATTAGATAGTTTTACATTAGCAATTCAATGTTATAGTTAAAAACTGGAAGGGGTTTTCCCATCCATATACTTTTAATACATGATTCATATATTTTCCATTACTAAATTATCCTTAGAACCTATATATTAACATTAATACTAACAGACTGTTACTACCTGTGCCTATTAGGTCATATTAATTTAATTGTTTGTCTCAAAGCTCTGTTGTTTTCAAAAACCTAATGTAGAATGTGTTTTTTTTAAATGAAAAAAAATGTTTTAATAAAAAATACTTATATTGTTGAACAGGTTTGTTACAGGATTCTTTTCACTTAGGAATTATCGTGTGTCAACACACAACATGTTGTAGGCTACTAAAGGAGGTTACAATTCTAGCGAGACATACATAAAAAAAAAAAAATTATTGAAAAAAAAAGTTTCTGCCTTTTTAGGCAAGAACAACATGCATGAATTTACTAATGCGCGCGGAACTTTGAGATAAACAAATACTGTAATTAATATGGTCTTATTTAATTAATAGTATTCCCTATTTATTAATTTATATATAGTAGTAAATATTTATTCTATTGTAAGTACTTCATATAAAAAAAAATTATATTCTTTCTACGTAGGTCAGTGTAAGATTTTAATTTAAGTTGTCATTACAATGCTATATATTTTAATTTTTAAAGAGAATTAAGTGCTTATTACTGGAAATGAATCCCATACAAATAACAGAATATAACAAATAAATTTAAATTTTTATATTAGCTGTGAAAAAATTAATAAAACATGTATAACAATGTTTAACTGAAATCGTTAAAAAAAAAAAAAAAAAAAAAAAATGATGATAATGGAATTTCTTTCTTCTATAAATTATTGATGTTTTCTAAAACGCTGGCACTTCTGAACTTACACCGACCGCTTCCATATACTTTAATGCTTCTTCACATCCTCCACACTGTGATTGAGCATTATTAACAATTTCATTAATATGTATTTCCCAACAGCTGCTAAGTGGGCCGAAAATAACTCCGGATTGGAGTTCTGAAAGTCTAAAAATAGTAATAGAAAACGGTGAAGGTCAACTCAGCGCTGCTTGAAACCTGATGCCGCTGAAGGAAGAAAATACATGGGAAAGCGGCCAAGAAACTTGGATTAAGACGAGAACATAAAGATACATGTCAAACGTACGTCGATAAAGGTTTCCTATCAAAATTTTTCTTGACAGTGAGTAAGTAAAGAAGCAGACGTGCGGTGTTGGCACATGAAGAGTGGATAGTACATCAACCTACTCACTAACAACATAAGTGGCTCTGACTACAGTGGAGTTGTCACTCAACCCAAGTGGCTGGCTGCAGAAGGTTGTCAACAAAGCATGGCTGCCTGTGTTGGGTGACTGCTCACTAATAGAGGATTAGACCCCAAAGGGTGGTCAGCCTTACAGTCTAATCTCAATCTAGTAAAATTAAACTTAAACAGGGGTTAAATAGGATGTGTTCCACTAGTACAATAATAATACTAAAAACAATAAATAATGTTCTTTTTTTATATCTTACTTTACAGAAGAAAATTAGAGAGAACACATATTTTTTTTTATGGTTATAGCTAACTGCCTGGAATCCGGTATCTTGATTAAGGCTTACAATTTGCTATTTATTTTATAGGATTTATACACTCAAGGTGCTTTTTCCCTGGTCACTAGATAAAGTCACACACAACAATCATACACAACATGCAACCTCCTCCACTCCTAAGGTTATCCTTTTAGCACAATTTCATTCTGAATCATGGATGAAGAGAGGCAAATGTAGATAAAGTGTCTTAACCACTGATGAGCAGTGTGACCAAAATTGGTCTCGAACTCACTTTCTTACGATTGAAAGACTAAAAACTAACTGCTGCGCCATATGGCTTTCGAGAAATTATACAGTCCGTCGTAGAAAATTGGCTTAATCAGTCAAATATTAACAATGTATAATGAAAGTAAGACAACTAACAATATACAACATTCCTTAAATTGCATGTGGGAGATAAAAGTAAACAGTAAATCATTGTCGAGCCAAGGGGCTCATATGGTCTGGAGCTTATATCCCCAGTCTCTCATGTGTGACATAAGCCTGGTAAATAATCCATGACAAATATTTAATAAGATAGACTTCAGAATGAAGCTAGACATTATACAACAACCAATTGTTAGTGAACTCAATTTGAAAAAGCATAATTGAGTACTAGTGTATACTCAAAAGTTCAGAAAAAAATGTATGAAAACACCTCTAAGCCATGTCCATCAACAGTTTTACTAGAAGAAATTCTTCCATCCATCACTGGGACATTTTCTTACCCACAAATAACATCTTCCTTGACTTACAAACAAAATGATTAAAGTGAAGAAAATTATTTAAATGAATTTGACATGAATATATTAAAGAACATTGTCAAGCTGTGGTGACCGTTGTAAGTGGTAATTTAACTTAGAGGCAAAGTCAATTTGCTTAGTATTTCTTAATAAAGGAATTATACAAAATAAAACAATAAAATAAAAAAATGTTTATTACAATAAAACATGCATTGTATATTAAAATGAGAATAGATAATACAAACATACAAATGGAAATTACACTTAGAGGCAGAATTCATTTTTTATATTTCTTAATAAAAAAAATTAAACAAGATTAAAACAAAATAAAAATGTTAAAATAAAACAAGCATTGTATAAGTTTAGCGCCTTGAGCTCTACTGTGCGCTTTATAAATCTTATTATTTATTATTAATTAAAATAAAATAAACAATACAAATAATACAAGTCAATGAATTGACGAGGTGAAGCAACAATATGAAATAGAATGGAATGGGAGGGGAGGGAAGGGAAGGTAGAATGTAGATGAAGGAAATCAGTAAATGAGAAAAACTTGTATAAGGTAACAAATGTTTTCAATGAATAGCCCATGGATAATTTGTTGATTTGAAAAGTCTTCATATCGAAAGCCAAGGAGTTGAGGTATTTAGGAGTATCAATTACGAAGCAAGTTCCTCCTGAAATATCAACATTTCCTGTAAATGTTTATCAAAATATATATTTAATAATTAATTGGGTGTATGTTTCACGTAAGGAGACAAATTGAATTTGACACATCCAAAAATACATCCAAGCTAGGTCTAAGAGTTCTTTTAAGCCCAAAGTTTTCTTCCTCTAGCAGTGCAAATGGGGATCCCATGGGCAGAGAAATAGCCCTGGGGGTTGGATTTTGTTCTTTTTATAGACACTTAGTTTGTGACTCTGGCTAGGAATAAGTAGTCCTTCTAGGCCAGACTTTTCTTCCTCTAAACAGGGCAGAAGGCGATCTCATGGGCAGGGAGGAACCCCAGGGGGTTGAATCTTGTTCTTCTTATAGACACCAAGTGTATTTTTAATCGTTTGTATAATTCAAGTTCAAGATAAGTTGATACGTTCAATATTTAAAGTCAATTATAGATATTAACTACCGGTATGTCAATTACCTAATTAACATTTACTAGTTAAAGTGAATGTTAACTTTAAAGAGCTAATGTATTTCCTTTCTGTAAAAAATCTAGTATTTTCTTGCATTTCTTTATTCTGAATACAAAGAAATAATCCAAGATTAAAAATGCAATAAGTACCAAAACAGCAAACTTGCTGTCATCGTGGTCCTACAATTTTAAATAAGGTATAAGCAAAGCTTTTATAACAAAAAACTTAACATTGTAACAACAAATTTAGAGCAAAAAATTAATTAAAATAAATTATAATTAATCTTTTATTAACTAAAAAAAAATCACTTAATTATTCTTGCAATTTTGAACTGAAAATATTCAGTGTCCAATCATTGCATGTTGACATGGCTCTTGATCAATTAGTTCATTAGCTGGAAGCTGGGTTGCATCAAAATACATTTTTGAATAATTCAATCATGTAGAATGGATGATTGAATAATAGTTCTGTAGAAGCCACATTCATTGTGGGCCCCTGCTGAGAACACATCAGTAGCAGAGATCATCAACGAGAATTGTATGACTTTTTTAATTACCCAGTATGCAGTAATACAGCAACTTGCTTAAGAAGACAGACAGGTCATTGGAATTGAACCAGCAATCCTTTTCAGACACATTTCTAACAAAGCAAAAACTAATTCAATAATTATTTAATGCACCATGCTACATTATAGCACGTATTACAAGTACCATTAAACAATGTGCTTCTATTATGAAACGGTTTCTATCTTGATTTTGAGTATATAAACACACCCTTAGAATTTGGTAGGGACATAACCTTAATCCCCAG